GCACACCATGTCCATGCCTGTATGTGTCTGCATGCACACCATGTCCATGCCTGTATGTGTCTGCATGCACACCATGTTCATGCCTGTATGTGTCTGCATGCACACCATGTTCATGCCTGGTGCCATCAGAGAGCAGGAGAAAGTGTTGGATCCCCTGGAACTGGTGTGGTTGTGAGGAATTGAACCCAAGTCCTCTGAAAGAACAAGTGCATTGAAGCCCGGGACCAGCCCTCCAGCCCTCCAAGCACAATACGTTTAACATGTTCACGCTTGCTGCTAACACCCACAAAATGATCTCTTCTGTTTCTACGAAGCTCCAAGCAATATTTCATCATACGGAGAAGCCGCATTTGGCCTGCCCTTCACGGCGTGCGCTTTCCCTCTTTTCTGAGCAGAACTGATCCGCTGCTGTTCCGCTGCAGGCTCTCATGTGAATGTGCACTTTCTCTTCTCTTGGCCCGTCTTGTCTGCGTGCCACGCCCCCTTCCCCGAAGTGGAGCTGCTGAGTCATCCTTGCTTTCAGTGCTTGAAGAACCGCCTGTCTGCCTGCCTCAGGCTCCACCGGGGCCTTCCAACTCCATCAGTGACGCTGGGGGCTCCCGCCTCCTCCACTCCGACACCGGTTACTGTTTGTCTTCTGAGTCATACTACCTGGTCCTTTCACGCAAGCTAGCAGCTGCAGAGAGAGAGAGGGCTTTCGCCCAGCTTCGCATGTTAGCGTTTGCTCTCACTGTAAAGTACAGAGAGAGCATTCACTGGATGAAAACACACACTCTCTATCTACACGTCCACCCCGACTCCTGCCCATACTCACATGTAGTGTGTACACACACATGCCTGTCCATTTCGTGTGCATGTGTGTGTCTGTGTGAGTGTATATGTGTTGTGTCTGTATGAGCATGTTTGTCTGTCTGTGTATGTGTGTGTGAGCATGTGTGTATGTGTATGTCTGTGTGTGTCTGTCTGTGTATGTGTGTGCTGCCTGTGTGTGTGTCTGCCTGTGTGTGGTGTGTGTGTATATGTGTGTCTCTGAGTGTATGTGCCTATGTGTGTATATATGTGTATCTGTGTATACGTGTCTGTGTGTGTGTCTGTATATGTGTGTCTATGTGAGTGTATGTATGTGTGTGTCTGTTTGTGTATATGTGTGTCTCTGTGTATGTGTCTGTCTGTATATGTGTCTGTCTATGTGAGTGTATGTATGTGTCTGTCTATGTGTGTGTCTGTGTGTATATGTGTCTGTGTGTGTATATGTGTCTATGTGAGTGTATGTATGTGTCTGTCTATGTGTGTGTCTGTGTGTGTGTGTATGTGTGTCTCTGTGTATATGTGTCTGTGTGTCTGTATATGTGTCTGTCTATGTGAGTGTATGTATGTGTGTGTCTGTCTATGTGTGTGTCTATGTGAGTGTATGTATATTTGTGTCTGTCTATGTGAGTGTATGTATGTGTGTGTGTGTGTGTGTGTGTGTGTGTATGTGTGTGTGTGGTGCTGAGGATTCAACCAGGGCCTCACGCTAAGCAAGCACTCTGCCAAGAACTAGGCCCTACCCGCAGTATTTGCAGAACAAACGAGAACAGCTCTTTATTTGTACAGTCTTCAGAATGGCTTGAGGAGCTGAGGCTGACAGTAACGGGGAATAATGAGTGGGGACTGGGAATCTCTTTACAGACCAGAGAAAAGTTAAATGTGAGCAAGGCTTGTCAATGAGGAGTCAAAAACCTTGCTCCCCGAAGCCCCCCTCTTTACTCCGAGACACTGTTCTCAGTGTTTCTTCCAAATGCCACATTAGCTAGTGTTCAGAAAAGAATGTTAAGAAGATTCGAAATGGCTGAGTCTAAAAACTAAAAGCCAGAAACTCCGCAGGAGCTGAAGGGACGGACGCCTCTGGCAGTTTGGAGCCTGCTAGCTGTAGTCCCAACACAGTCGCCAGTCACAGGGTTGGAGCAGGCACATGGCGAGGCACTAGACTTCTAACTTCAGCAAGGAAACTCTCTGGCTTTGGAGAGCAGCTGGCAGATGAACAGACACACCGGGCTAGAAAACGTGGGGCATTTCAAAGAGCATCAGAAACGAGGTGTGCCCTGTCGACCTCGGCTGATACACCCACTGCCTTATCTGAGGAGCCAGGGAAAGGGAGGCCAGCAGCTGTTGGCCCTGCATTCTGATTGAGACGCTTCCCATTGTGGCAACGGGAAGTCTGAAAACAGGCATGAAACGCCCAAGATACTGTAGCATGAACTTCAGTCAGTTCGAAATGATCAACTTTTTGCTAATTTACGTACCTGACCTTTATTTATTTATTCTTTCTTTTTGAGTGACAGGTAATAGCTATGATGTTTAGGTTGGGCCTGAAGTCCTTAGTTCAAGACATCCACCATTCTGTTGCCCCAGCCTCCTGAGTAGCTGAGACTTTATATTAATATGAATATGTATGTTCATATTATGTATGTATATAAAATTTGTGCGTGTGCTCCTGACTACAAGCTTATTATCACTCAAGTGCCATCTACTCTCTATTTCTTGTTTGAAATGGTCTCTACCTGTACTGGAACTTACGAAGCAGGGTAGGCCAGATGGTCGGAGGCCCTGGGGATACATTTGTCTTTGCCTTGCCTGTGCTGGGAATGTGTGCCACCGTGCCTAACTTATAGAGAACAGGATGAATTTGGTCCTTGTGCTTTTAAGGGAAACATTTTACCTACTAGAATGTCTTTCCAGCCACAAAGGCTCATTTAAAACTAGGCATGATGAATATGTCCATAGGTGAAAGTTTCTGTCCCACCCGGTCCCCGGTCCTGTTTAGTCCCAAATAAACACACAGAGGCTTATATTAATTATAAACTGTTTGGCCGATGGCTCAGGCTTCTTATTGGCTAGCTCTCTCTTAATTATTAACCCATTTCTAGTAATCTATGTGTCTCCATGCGGTCTTGGCTCGCCAGAGAATGCCCAGGCGTCCTACCTTCCCGGTAGTTACACGGCAGCTCTCCGGGAGAGTCACTCTCCAGTCCTCTTCCCAGCATTCTCCTGGTCTGGCAGCCCTGCCTACACTTCCTGCCTGGCTACATCCTGACTGTCCATTGGCTGCAACTGCTTTACTCATCAGCCAATAAGAGAAACATACATTCACGGCACACAGAAGGACGCCCCCCCATGGCATGTCTGTGATGTCCAAGGTCACCCCTGGTTATAACAGGGAGTTAGAAGGCTGACATGGAATACACCAGACCCGGTTCCAATTCTCTCTCTCTCAAGCTGTCTATGTAACCCATCAGATCTAGACCTCCCCGGGTACCCAGTTGATGCTGACCTTCCGATCTCCCTGTCTCATACTTCTGAGTACCGCTGCTGCCTCGCTTATTACTTCGTTTGTTTTTGGACACAGGGCCGCTCCTATAGGCTAGGCCCGCCAGGAACTCTCCGGCCCATCAAAGGCGACCTTAGATTGTTGATCCCGTCTCCACCTCCAAAGTGAATGGGGTTGAAGGCTCGGACCACCACCTACAGCTTGACTTCTAGGTAAATGCCTATTTGTATGAAGAGTGTAAACACTGTTCCTAATAAATAAGGCCATTTGCATCGTCACACATGGGAAGCCACCAAAGAGGAGTTGGGCTGCTGACTTCCCATTGTCAACCCGACACGGCCTAGAGTCACCAGCTGAAGGACTGCCGGGATCATCTTGGGCTGTGGCCACTGTGAGAGAGAGGTCTTATTTGAGACGGGCAGGGGAAGGCCTGAGTAGCCAGTGCGCAGCATTTCTTCGTGCTTGCCCGGAGCTGAATCGGGTATGGATTGTTACCCGCGAGGGCAAGCCTGACATGAACTCTTTCCCTCCCTAAGTTGTTTCTGGTCAGTGTTTTCTCACGGCAGAGGGAAGGGTAGGAATCGTCCGCTAGCACCGTGAATTCCGTAACCGCTCATCTTTCTCTACCCGGCGATGAAGATTTTGCCCCGTGTGTCTGTCGCAGTCTCATTCTTCCTGGCCGTCCCCGAAACAGCCTAAGTTCATGACTTGAGTACAGACCAGATTTTCATTATCCTATTGTCATTATCACTATCACCTTAAGATCGCGGAGGAGCCTGACCTTCCTTCTGAGGCTGAGTAGACTTGGTAGAACGGGAGCCACCGTCTGGAAAAGCGCACCGTACAAACCAGAAGTGGAGGAGGGATACAGAAAGGCTCGCCAAGGCGTCCCGTTGGCCGCTGTCCCTCTGCTGGCCTCTCGGGGCTCGGTGAAGGACACAGGGCCCGGCAGTGAGCGTATTACCTGATCTCCCTTTACCCGGTCTAAGAGGGCAGCCAACTGCTCACAGCCATCCCCCATGCCAAGCAGTACAGGAAGGGGCAAGAAGCCCACCCGGAATGGCAACATCCACCCATCTCTCCAAATCCCTGCGTTCTGACCCCGTGTGTGGCCCGACGTCTCCACGGCTTTCAGGTCTGCAAAGGGACTCTCTTAAAGCCTTGCTGTTGTTCCGGGTGAGACTCTTGGCCCGCAGGTCGGAGAACCTCCCACAGCGGCCCTATTTGGTCCTGATGAAGGCAACCTGCCAGGAGGAGGAGGGCGGCCAAAGCCGGGCAGCTTCCATCCAGCAGCCCTGGGCCCAGGGGGCGTTTCTGAGCGCGGGGTGGGGGCGGGCGCAGCCGGCACCGCCCCCGCCCGCCCGCCCGCCACCAGCAAGCAGGGTGGTGCTCCGGCGCCGATCTGAAACTTGGGCAAAGTTTGCTGCTGCGTGGGGGGGGGGGTCCCCGAGCACGTGCAGCTTCCACGCCGGGGCCTCGCGCTCCCTCCGGGGTCCTCCTCCGCCCGTGCCCCCCTTCCCCCCCCCCGCGCGTGCAGTCCCCTGCTCGCCTTCCCCTGCGCTCGCTCGCTCGCTCGCTGGCTCGCACGCTCTCGCTCGCGCGCGGCGACGCGCAGCTTCACGGGCTCCAGGAGGCGGCGGCGGCGGCGGCGGGGCGTAGCGGGCGCCCCGAGGAACCCCGGGAGGCGGGGTCAGGGCGGTCCGGCGCTCGGTTCCCGGAAGCCGCCGCCTGCCGAGGCTCCCGCCGAGCGGACCAGCACGCCTGCACGGAGCTCCAGCATCCTCCGCCGGGGAAGCCGCGCGTATCCACAGCCCGGGCGAGATGCTGCCGGTGCACCCCGAGGTGAAACCCAACCCGCTGCAGGACGCCAACCTCTGCTCGCGCCTGTTCTTTTGGTGAGTGTCCCGCCTGGGCCCGCCTGGCCGCCCGCGAGGTGCTCGGCCGCCGGCTTCGCCACGCGCCGGATGCTCTCGGCGCCGGGTCCGAGGCGCTCGCTCGGTCGGAGGATGTGGTCCCTGCGCGGCCGCGCGCGCCACCTGCGGGTCCCCCCCCTCCCGTGCCCCGCCGCGCGCGCCCCACGCGCCGGCTCCCACCACGCTCCGCGCCGCGCCACGCCGGAGGGGCGCGCGCGCGCGGGGGGCGCCCGGGTGGCAGGGCGCAGGTGGTGGCTCCCGCCCGCCAGCGCTGGGACCGGTGGTGGGTGGTGCGGAGTCGGCATCGGTTCGGGGTGGGGGGTAAAAGCGTCGCTGTCCTCCTGCCCTGGTAAGCGGACCCCCTTCCCCCCGCATGCCTCCCACCTTCCCTGGGTCCTGCTCCTGCGCCCAAACGGCTGCACCTTTTCCCTTTTCCTCGCTTAACTGAGCAGCTGTCAACAGCTGGTCTTATCTAATCGCAGCCGAAGCTAGAGAGTGCTGGGACAGCGCCGAGCTGGAGTGCTTACAGCATCCACGCCGCCTGCCTGCCGAAGCACCTCCCCAGGCATCCTTCGACTCGGCCGGCGGCGGCCACTGTGGGTGCTAGTGTGTGTCTTTGCGAGGAAGTTTAATAACCCCTCCTTCTGGCCCTCAGTGGGTGCCCTGGTTCCTAAGTGTGGCTGGTCTCGTGTGGGCAAAATACGAATTTATTGTCATGTGTTTTTATGAATGGAGACACTGCTCTCCAACGAGGTCTGCAAGACGTTTTCCCTCTTGGCTGACAACGCAGCCTTAGTGGAGCACTAACTATACGGACTTCTCGTTTTCTGCCCTTGGTGACTACGGTGCTCTTGGATGAGTTTCTTAAGGCTGGGGGAAGGGGGGCTTACCAAGACCTCTAGTGTATTTAGAGATGGGACCCATTGTCACGATGCCTGAAACCACTGATGGGTTTGTCCCGCCCTAGCCTTTCCCCTCTTACTGTAGCAAAACGACTTAGGTAGGTGACATTCCTAGTAGTTTTCCGTCTAATAGCCCAGGCTGGCTAGCACTCACGCTTGGCTAACCGGAATAGTTTGTATTTCTTGGCCTCTGCGGTTTCATCTTCCTCACATTCTAATGCTGCCTTTTAAAAACGGGAAAAAACCCAGGGAATGTCAAAGAGTCACTTACTGTTGCAGGATCTGATCTTGGACATTTGGTAGAGAGGACCAGGCAGGAATAAGGAATATGGGTAGAATATATATATATCTCAGAGCAGGTGGGCTGTCTTGGTCTCCTGAGCTTCAGCAGGACACAGAATGCTTTTTTAAAAAAAGATTTATTTCTTTATTACATATACAGTGTTTTGCCTACACGCCAGAAGAGGGCACCAGATTGGATTGTAGATGGTTGTGAGCCACCATGTGGTGGCTGGGAATTGAACTCAGGACCCCTTGAAGAGCGATCTTAACCTCTGAGCCATCTCTCCAGCCCGACACAGAACTCTTTCGTTTTGGTTTTTTGAGACAGGGTTTCTCTGTGTAGCTTGGAGCTCGCTATTAAGACAAGATCGGCCTCATCTATAGAGCCAGAGATCTGCCTGCCTCTGCTGGGATTAAAGGCCTGACCAACACTCTCCGGCTAGGACTTGGAACCGTTGGTGACCTTTCTGTGTTCGGACTTTGAAGATGTGGGGGAAGGGGTGTCAGTGGCACATACCTGTAGGAGGCTAAGAAGGGAAGAGGACTTCAGCCCGAGGAATTGACAGTGTGGCAGCCTGGTCTTGAAGCCCCTTGAATTCACAGCGGTTCTCCTCCCTGCCCCAGACTCCTGAGTGCTGGGGATATAGGTGTGAGCCACCATGTCTGTCAAAACCCAATGTTAGGAATGTAAGTCGTGGCCGGGTGTGGTGCCTGTGAGCCTTTAATCCCAGCACTCAGTAGGCAGAGGTAAGGCAGAGTTCCAGGACAGTCAGGTCTCAAAGAAAGAAAGAAAAGAAACGGCCTCCCGTCGCTGGCTTGGGCGGGCACTCATTTCCATTTCCCAGTTGGGGAGAAATGGCCTATCACGTCTGGTTTTACACCCATGGAGACATGCGGGCAGACTGAGATGTTCTGATTAACCTGTGTAGGACGACATAGCTGCTCAGTGCCCGACAGGACCCAAGCCTGGGCAGTCTGGCCCCCAGGAGCTGCTGGTACTATGCTCCTTTCCCCGGGGGTTGGTTCCGCCACGTATGGAGGAGGAGTTTCACTTGCTCCTCCTGGTCTTACAGGTTGAGCTTCCTCAAGGGATGGTTGAGGTTGGAGATCATGCCCGTGGAGCACGTGTCTTATTCTACCGCAGCTGCTCCAAAAGCGGGGCGGTCAGAGGGGCAGCATCAGCGTCGTCAGCTTATTAGAAAGATGCAGGGTCTCCAGTAATCCCAACAGACTGGTTCAGAACAATCAGAGGTGGTGGGGGCCCCTGTTACATTCAGGTGTCTTTCCCAAGGCGTCCAGGTGATACCGATGAAGGCTGAGGATGTTCTACTGCACTAAGGCGCTCCTCCTGTGGGCGCTGTCATTCCAGTAGTATTCTTTGCAGGGCACGGGGCGGCGTGACTTGGTGAAGTCACCCGTGGACAGCGATGACACCTTGTGTGTCTACTGGAGTGCCTCATGTCTCTGTTTCTAGGTTCCGTGGTTCCCTTTTGCAGCTGTCTTGCTGTAGGCGGGGAAGTGGCCTCCTACAGATGCCAGCGTTGTAGTAGAGCAGCCCTGGCTTTTCACCTCCTGGTGGGGGTGTTTGCTTTTCTTCCCTCCCGCTTTGTCTGCTCCTTAAACTCCCGATGAGCCGGTGGCTGCCGGCCAGACGACGACAGCCAGTGTGATAGTGAATCTGCAGCAGTTTGGTTTTTGTGCTGTCCAGGCACTGGGTTGGGATAAGGGTAATAATTTCCACTAGCCCGACACACCTGCTGACGTCCAGTGTGCCTTGCACACACTGGCTTCAACGCACACGTTTGCAGGACCACGCCGGCACCAAGCAAAGCTGTGAGCCCTGCTACAGACCCGTTAGTTTTCATGGCGGGCTGGGCTGCGTTGCCTGTATGCCGTGACGTCTTCTGACTGTAATGCACAGCTTTTCTCCATTGTTGAGCTCAGTGCCTCCAACGACCGATCATGCTGCATGTGTCCCTGGCTGCACATTTTCCTGTCCCCGCATTCCCCTTTCCCAGGCTGCTGGTGCTGGAGGTTGGAGATGGGCATCATGCAGGTTAAACACACACTCACCGCTGAGTACACCTCCAGTACGTACTCCATCAGTAAGTGTCTTCACATCCCAGGGCCACCCAGACCCCGGGGTTGTCTTAGCCGTTGTGTTGCTTCACTGCTGACAACGAAGGCAGCCGAAGTTCTTTCTGCAGTTGATATAAAATAGGCACCAGTTTTTTATTTCTCTTCGCAAAATCAGCACGTTTTCCCGTCGCCGTATATTGAGTAGTGTCTCGTGCCTGCCGTTAGAAGTACAGTTTATGAGAGTCTGTGTCCCGCTGGGTATGAGATGGTCGAAGCTCCCAGGCTCTTCCAAGCTTGCCCAGCTTCCCTGCTGCCCCCTGATGTTGTTACCAACATCCAACAAGGCCGCGTGGGTGTACTCTGTGCTCCTAGGCTAGGCCTCCTACCCAGGAGGCCCTGGGCTGTAGCAGCAGGTCTGAGAAGGTTGTCAGTGGGGAGAGGCACTTTCCCAGGGTGCTGGTGTTGGGGGGACAGCAGGGGACAGGGCACCTGGCCCCTGAGGACAGTTACATCCTCATTGTCCTGTAGCCGGCTGTGTCTGTTGATGAGATGTCATCTGCAAAGTCTGTGCAGCTGTAGAAACAGCCGCTGGTGCTGGGGCAGACTTTCTGGGGACTTAGCTTAGAAAAGGCTCCTGGCTTGAGGGTAGAAACACAAATGGCGTAGAGAGACTGACTGTGTGGCATCCCCTCCTCCCCCCCCCCATCCCCTATCAAGGGACAGCAGCAATTCCGAGTGTTTGTTTATTAATTTTACTCTGTAAGACAGGGCATCACTTTTTAGTCCAACCTACAGGTACGGAATGCTTCTACCTTGCTGCCTTTTGAGTGCTGGGCTTGTAGGTGTGAGCTGTACCCAGATTAGCACTGTTTAATTTTCAACTGTGGCATTTGGCGCCATTTTTGAATACTTTTTAATATACAACACACACACACACACGTTAACACATATACACACACACACACTGACTAACACATATACACATGCATGAACACAAAGACACCAACATTCCCCCACACAGACATGAACACACGCGCGCACACACACACACACACACACACACGCACGTACGTACTCACGAACACTCACACATCCATACACACGCTCCCCGCCACAGGAACACATACACACACACCTCCCACAGCACATGTGTGCAGGTCAGAAGACAACGTCTCCACCACGTGGGTCTTGGGGAGGAACCTCACGTGGGTCACCAGGCTTGGTGGCAAGTGCCTGTACCTGCTTAGCCATCTCTGGCCTTGCTGGCCACAGGCAGGGTGCCAGGTTTGTAGTGGGAACAAAGGAAAACTCCTGCCCTGCAGAGCAGGAAGGAAAGTTCCAGGCTTATTTAAAGATTAATCCTCTACGGAACCTTGATAATTACGTAATTTCTGAGGAGCATTGAAAGCAGAAATCAGCAGAGCCATGGCTGGATGGTAGATACCTCAAATAATGACCTCCGACGTGCTTTTAAAAGTAGAGGGTGTGGGTCTCTTACGGAGCCCCCACTGTGGAGTCCTCAGGATCTCTGGCCCTAGTGAGCCCTGGGAATCTGTGTCTCCCAGACCACACATTGAGAGGATGGGTTGGAGGGTCCACTGAGCTAGTTTAACACTAGTGATCACTAACGCCTCTGTATTGTGTTCCGTCTTACACGGTGCCCTCAAGAAATTACATTCTCAATCTCCGAGGCAGACAGTCTCACAGTTCTCTTGGGGG